TAATTATTAAGGCCCCTACAGTAACAGGTACGATCCGAAAGACACGCTTTCCAGACATCAGCTCCTCCCACTTGGCGGGATATGGGGCTCCTTTAACGGTTCCTTTAAAGGCTCCTATAAGCGTTACTATAAGGGTTATACTATATGGGTTTAGTGTTATTAGTAACTTTCTTGGCTGTAAACTCAACTTTTCAACTTTTGGGCGTTCTTATAAGGCAGTCGAATTTGAAAGTTTCAACCTTTATTCCTTTGGGTTTTGGCCCAGTGAGTAAAACGACAGGCCTTTTACTTAAAGGACCATAGGACTCAGTTAGCACAGGTGTAAGTACCTTGGCTGCGCATTGTAGCTAATGGCAAGTGTAGTTAACATATGTATAACCTTAGTTACTAAGGCCCCTGATCTTGTATGTTTTAAATCCCCAGAAATCCTTTGTAGAGCCCTTTCATGAACCCTTTAATTAAGGAACCCTAGTTACCAAGTCCAACGATCCTCGAGGTACAAGGAGTCCTTGTTATTCTTCCCACAAGTTTTGAGTTGTGCGACCTGCTTAGTAGCTCAGTAGGTAGCCTTTAACCTTTTGGGGCCTTTTGGGGTTTATAATTTTACCATAGGTGAGAAGGTCAACCTTTTCCGGCTAGGGTACTCAGCCCTTAAGAAAAAGGGATAGGTGAGAAGTGGACTGCTTGCTCTTCGAGGGCAAAGTGGGGACGCTTGCATCTCCGGTTATTCTCAGATACAGTACTCCCCGAGCCCTTAAAGTTAAACCCTGAGGCCTTATGAACTATCTAAGGCGTAGCCTGCTCCCCTAAACGGAGACCTGCTGACTGTTTCCCAAAGCAATACTCCGTAAACCCAAACTTGACGAGGGTCACCGCAGAACCTAAGGCGTGTGTTGTAACATTGTGAACAGCTATCCAGTCGTATGACCACAGACTCTGCAAAACAATCAACTTTTGGGTTTAGGGTGTAGGATTCCGTACTTTCTCCCAGGTTCATCGGGTTTTTTATTCCTTGTCAAACGGTTTCCTTCCACGAAGTTGCTGAGGTCAGTCACATCAGAGGCTTCGTCGGAGTTTGTTCTTGCTGCTGAGACTGTTGCCCTAAGGGTCCAAGTCCTTCATCATTATATATAGTCTCCCAAATAGTAACCTACATAACTCCTATCCGAAACCCGAATACCTGATTATTGGGTCCTTGGGACCCTTGCGCATGGGGTTCAGGGCTTCGGGCTTAGTTTGTCTTCGGTGGCTCACTGACTGGCGGCTTCACCCAAGCTGACGCTTGAGCACTTCAAGCCCTTAGACGCCCTAGAACCTACGGACCCCAGACCCTACTCTGCACCCTGAACCCTACACCCTACCTAAACTCTACACCCCGAAAAACCCTCACCTTGATCCCTAAACCCTCAGACACCCAACCCTTCATCGCCTAAAGCCCCTGAAACCATTTCCTCAGTAGCTGAGTGGATACACTTTACACTTCTGGGGATAATATTACCCACTATAAAACTGAAAGTGTACACTTTTTGGCGTTTATGAACTCAGCAACTTTTTAAGTTTCCGAAACCCTAAAAACCCTCCTGAAGCCCTACCACCTTAAACCGACCACAGCAGCTGAACGACTGCAGCGCCCAACATGTGCGTAGACGGCTATGCAGCCGACAGCCTCCAGGTCGCCAGATATTCCTTGGAGTGCGTTTCGGGATTTAGGGTTTAGGGTTTCAAGGCCCTGGGTTTTATATAGGGGTACTTATAGAAGTAATGTTTAATTTTATGGTTCTTATAATCCCTAAGAAACAGCTAGAATTACAATTTTGCTAGGGTTCTAAATTCAGTATAGGTTTAGGTGCTATTTGGTGTTAGTGGTCTGGTGTATAGGGCTTAAGCTTCAGAAACTCAAGGCTACCAGACTAGTTATAGGGCTTTGGTCTTAGTTAGGGTTCTTCAAGGGTCTTACAGGATACAGGAGTGCTTGTTTTTGCATTTTTGGGTGGCCTTGCTCACAGGACATCGAAAACGCTGGGTGCTGAGGCCTTATATTTGATAAGGTACTTGGGTATAGGATGACAGTTGTGCAGGCTGGAATTTCGGAGAGTAGATGATACCTGGATCCTTAGAGTCAGCGCTTGAGCAGGGATCCGAATGCTAAGGCCCTGAAAGGATGGGAGTTTCGGCTATCCACTATACTAAATGCTGCTGAAAGCCAGGATCGCCAATCCCCAAGCTGCAGAGCCACACCAGGCAGATGTTTGGCCAGGAAGTCTAGGACCCAGAGTAAGCCCTTATTCCTTTTTTTTAGGGTTCTGGTTCCCTTATTAAGCCCCTTTAAAACCAAAAAGGGCACCCTTTTTATTCCTAGGTTACTCTTGGGTCTAGAAGTACTGGAGATGCGTTGGGACTGGTCAAGCTTCACTCCCCTGCTTCCTTCGACACATGGAGTGGGCAGGGCGTCGAGACGCCCGATCTGGGGCCAGGCTTTGGCAGTGTGCGGTTTTATCCCGTCAGCAGCACGATGCAGGCGTATTGCCACAAACACGGATCAGACTGCCGGAAGACAAGAACTGTAAAGCCTGGTCGACAAGAGTACCAGGGACGGGGGTTTATACGGGGTTCTGTAGTTGTAAAGGGCTTCGGTGTTCAGAGGTCTAGACTCGGTCTAGAATTTAGGAGCTCAAAGCCACAAAGCCAACGGTTTAGGGTTTAGTTTAGGGTTTAGGGTTCAGGAATCTCAGAGTTACAATGAATGGCACCCCTAGTCGTAAGCGCGAAACCTACCCTGAAAGCCTTCCTGCAAAGGCGCGGTTCATATTATATAGGTTTAGGGTCTTGGTCTTGAGGATGACATGTACCTTATAGGGGTTTATCGTTCCGATACCCTGGTATAAGGATATCTATTGTCGCTCTTACTTTTAGGGCTCATCTGGTTCAAGGAGTACCTGGACCCTAAGGAACCTGCCTTTTTTCGGGTTCCCTAATATGATTTCTTTAATTATAAAAGTCCTTAAAAAGGTATATAGGTTGCTTGGGGATACGGTATAGATAACCAAATATTCAATATCTCCATATCTCCACCCGGAATCTTAAACTCTATGCCAGGTGTCTGGAGGTCTCCCCAGCGGCGGTATTCGGGCATCGCTGGCGAGGTAGGGTCTTTGCTTCCCATGCTGATTCTTCTCTCTTCTAACGCAATTTACCTGGCGACATGAACGATCGCTCCAGTAGCTATGTTGGCATGTGTACAGTCTGTATAGTCATCTGGTTGATGATTATGATGAAAGACGATGATGATGAGGAGGCGGAGGAGAAGGAGAAGGAGAGCAGTGATAGCAACGGTCGTGAGCATGATGATCATGAGCCTAAACAGTAGTATAGTTGCAACGCAACGACAACTAAAGTCCAAAAGTCTTGGGACTGTCGATGGGGCTGGCTTTCTGGGGGATCGCCTTGTCTTTCACGGCCTTGCGGTAGGGTTTTGCACAACTTCCATAGGTGGTTTGGGGATTTGGAGGTTGCACAGGCCATGGAGGGGCTGCCAGATGCATTGCATTAGACCTTACAATATAAAGGTTAGAGTTATGATTTAGGGATGTTCAGGGTTTAGGGTGTTATCAGGGACTCAGTAGTTATGAGGTTGGGTGAACACTCGCAGTCGGGATCGCAACGAAATTTTCTGGCTGCTTCGTTCCCATGCTAAGCGTCAAAGACTTTTGCGTTCCGCGGGAGCCTGTCTAATTAGAGTCTACCTGTGGCCCCGGACCCTACGAAGTAGTAGGTTATGATCCCTTAACTACAGGGTCCAACCCTTAAAACGGTAGGTTTTGGGATCTCCAGGTACAGCTTTACCTATAGTCTCCATTGTAGTTCCTTTTTGTGGTTTAACCACCTATATGTTAAGGACCCCATAAGGTAACCCCGAAAAGGAACTACAATGGAGGCTACAGGTAGCTTCCCGAAGGGATCAGGCGGTTTCTAGATGTGGGGTTTAGGGTTTAGGGTTTGTGGAGCTCAAGTAGTTTCTATCGAATACGATGCCTCAAAGCCTAAATCGATTCTTGGCCCTAGCGTTCCAATCTAAACGTCCCATCGCAGGATTGTGCCAGACCTTCATCTTGCTAAGATATTTGCGGTTGTTCAAGGCAAGTTGGTGTGTATTAGACCCTCGGTTGTGAGACTAACAGCCCACTAGTTATTAATGACAAGATCGCCTCCATTCATTCAATTTCCTTGGAAGTCCTGGTATTGAGCGTCCCTGAAAAGCACATCCACGGCAAGTACCCTTTTGCCGAGTTTGGCACGCCGAAGCTTCAGCGAGAAGCTTTGCAAGGCGTCTTACTCCCCAAGATTCGATTCGGGGTTTAGGATTCAGGCTTTAATTTAGCATTTTGGATTTAGAGTTTCGGATTTAGGGTTTATAGGGTCTCGGATTTAGGGTTTAGTGACATTTATGGTTTAGGGTTTCGGTTTTAGGGTTTCGGATTTAGGGGTTCGGATCTGGGGGTTCGGATCGAGGGTGTAGGTGTTCACAAAGGGGTCCTTCTAATGAGGATCCTACTAATTGGGTACTATATTAGGGTCCCCTATTTTCGGAAACTCCCCAGTTGGAAGAACTTCGCTGATTCATGGCCGAATGCCGAGGAAACCTGGCAGGATCTGTTCTTGAAATCGAGGAGGCACCTTTGTCAGGCTTTGTTTAATTTATACTCCCAAAGAGTAAGAATAACCTACAACAGTGCGGTCGTAAACCCATGGACCTGAACATTAGGTCCCAGAGGTCCCGGTTCCATAATAATAGTATATACGGAGCCTCTTCGATTCCTTCTACACAATGCGGATTCCTGGAAAGCCGTGCTCCTTGGGATCATCGTATACAGCAGCCATAATTAGTGGCATTCCTGCCAAGCCGAAAAGAGCTGGATTTGTGAAGATAGAGCTCAATGGTGTGCCTGCAACGGAAACGCAGCCCAACGAACCTCGTCAACACTCCGAAGCTTTGATCAAGAATGTTGAACACCTGTCCACCGCTTATCGTAGATACGAGCCGCACAGCCGCATTGGCCTCCGGGCCTGCAGTCGCTGGCATTGAGCGCACGCTGATGAAGGCGAGCTTTCTGGTAAAAGGATCGACACCGGATGCGCGTGCAGCCAAGATGTACGGCAAGTACTGCAAGTCAAGATCACTGGATCCATTGGGCAAGGTCGTTGCGCTCCCGTTTGATGGGTTAGGATGGGATGGCTCATTACATGATAGATACTTAAAGGATCATGGGACTTCGTAACTGGGGTTATTACTATTATAAGGTAACTATACTTATAACTACTTAGAATCCCAATTAAGGTACTTATAACCTTACTTACTAAGTCCCATGATCCTCCAAGTAGAGTTCTGGCCGAGCAGGGAGCGCCGGCCACGCAAGCTCTCTCAGATGATGAGATCTTCAAATCCTATAGAGTTTAGGGTTTAGGGTTTAGGGTAGTTTAGGGGTTTAGGGTTTAGGGTTTGATTTCGTGGGCGTGGAAAACGATCAAAGTCCGTCATGTTGCTTCACCAACTAAAGCGGTTATCAGAGCAAAGAGACGTAGTGGTGACACTCATACTGCCATTGGGAATGGACTTGTCAATGTTCCGGTGCAACTGGTTGCGGCAAGTGTGGCATTTCATGGGTTTAGGGTTTAGGGGGAAAAGGGTTTAGGGGTTTAGGGGTTTAGGGTTTGGGGTTTGGGGGTTGGGTTGGGGGTTTCATTCAAGCTGACATAGGGTGATTGGAACATTAGGCGAAGGGGTCCCCAGGTACACTCCATAAACAGCTCCTAAACCCCCTCAACATCTTCGAACCCGAAAGCCTAGAACACCTTGTTATAGACCCTTTGTAACTGTTATTAGCTCGTTGCATTTTGTAAATCCCGCAGCAGCTGCACAGGCGACCAGGATGCTTTAACCTCCGCCGGACGGCCACATTGGCGGCTCGCCAAGCAAGCATCGGAAGATTTGAATTCTTACCCCTAGAGTCCTGCGCTTTAAGTTTTGGAGCTTTGACTGTTCTTGATGGGTTTCAACGGGTTCTTTATACGGATTTAGCGTTCAAGGCGTTGGGGATTTCGGGTGTAGGGCTCAAACTTATGCGAAGGTTCCCGAGTATCTCTTTGTTAGTGTCAGTGCCTGGAGTCTCCTCCGTCAAATCCTTGTGTCTCCTTTTACGAGTTGTGTAGTGCAGAGGGGTTTAGGGTTCCCCCTGCCCCAAGTATCCGTCCGCCGGCTTGAGTCCTTCACAGTGGCTGTCTAAGCCATAATAGAGGGTATATAGTTGGGCGGTCTTGGCGGTGATTAGAGTGTTCCTCAAAGACCAAAGGACCCTTCAAAGTAAGGGCCTGAAACCCGTATACTATGAATTCCTATGTGGTATATGAACCTCAAACCCTTCTGTGGTACTTTCCGTCCTTAAGGATGGGTTGGGGAGCAAGGAGGGTAAGGATCTACTAGCTCATTCGGTTTAGAGCCGTTGGCTGAAACGCCAAACCGAAACCCCAATCCCAAAATCCCAAAACAAGTGACAGAATGCTGATCCAAAGCATATCCCTACAACAGTTGGCTGCCGCCTTCCTCTTCCGTCAAAACCCACCACTACCCTCTGCTCTTTGCTCTTGAGCTGAACTCCAAGCCAAAGAATCAGGTCCACAAGTTTTCAGGGTTGGACCCTTGGACTTATTGGCTGTCAACTCAACTTTTCAACTTTTGTGGTTCTTATAAGGTAGTCGATTTTGAAAGTTTCAACTTTTATTCCTTTGGGTTTTGGGCCAGTGAGTTAAAGGGGTCATAACCCACTATTTTGTAGGGTCTGGGGCCAGGTAGATATTGCCAGAGGCTCCCCTACACACACTCAACCCCACACCCTCAACCTGAAGACTCAAACCCTGAGCAGTAAAGCCGAAAGCTTAAACCCCGAACAGTAAACCCTAATTCCTAAACAGACAGGCAACCTAAACTGTATCTCTTGCTCTACTTGGAGGGTCGGGTGACTTATAGAGTTAGAAGTGCCATAACCTCAATTAGGATCCTTTTTAGGGTACTTATAACTCTACTTACTACCTACTTACCAACTCCCTGACCCTCCCTTGTAGAGCCCCTTTAGATCCCCTTATATATAGGTCCCTTTAAAGAGTCCTTTAAGGATCCCTTTAAGGAGCTTTAGTCCCCCGACCCTCCAAGTAGACCCTATAAACCCCTAAACCCCTATAGATCCCCTTTCAGGAACCCCTTACCCAGACCCCTGGGAGCATCTAGAAAGTAGATCCCCTAATCTGAGGCCCCAGACTAAGGGTACTTATAGGAACCCCCATTAAGGGATCTACTTTTTGGATCCTCCCGCAGGTCTGGGGAACACCTTAAAAAGCCCTTGTGCGGAGCCTCTGTCCCCAGACCCTCCAAGTAGGTGGGCTTCGCTGCGGGGCGCCTGTGCTTCCGGAGAGGCTCAGTGAGGCCAAGAGAGTCGCATTTAATCTAGGAGCCCAAATCATTACCTATATGGGGTTCCTTTAAAGGGGTCTATAAGGGCTAATTAGTGTGAGGGCTATTATACGGATATCAGCGGCCTAACTAGTTACCTATAGTATTCTGGGGGTTCCTTCTTATAATTGCCCCCACACCCTATTCTATTGAATAAGGCCCCTACATTAGGCTGCAAGGTTTGGAGTTTGGGGTATGGGGATCAGGGTTTGGGGTTTAGGCTTTGAGGCTTGGAAGTTTTCGCATTAAAAGTTAGAGTGCCAATAAGGATTTCAGAAGGGGCTATAAGGATTTCAGAAGGGGCTACACATTGCTACAAGGGTTTATTCGCAACATTTCGAGATTTAGGGTTTTGAGGGTTTAGGGTTCACCTGGACCCTACATGACCTAGCTCGTGAAAGAAACTAATGTAAGGAGCCCCAAAAAGTAGGATTTTCAGGGTCCGGGCAGTGCTTCAGGTTCATTCGTGGATGAGCTTGACAAGGTTCATTTTTGGGCTTAGAAGTTCGGGTTTACGGTTCAAGGCAGAAGGTTTACAAAAGATACATTGACGTGGGGGATAAGGGGGTTTGGGGTTTAGGGTATAGGGGTTTGGGGTTTCTGGTTTACCTGTCGCCCGAAACTTCACTAAATAGTATAATAGGTCATGGCCAGTAGGTTTGTGGATCACCTAGTAGCATTAAGCGGGTTCCTGGGTAGCCCAAACCTTAACCAGCCAAACCATCCTTTTTTGTAGGTTCTGTTTATAAACCTTAAGATGGAGTTTATAGGGACCCTCCAAAAAAGCAGGGTTTAGTAAGTTAAGTCCTAATATGACTAAAGCTGTATTCCTTAATTTAGGGATATTGGAGTCTCCTAGACCCTAAACCTTATAGATCCCTTATCGGAACCCCGAAAAGGAACCCTTAAATGATCCCTTTAAATCTTGGAGTCTCTGGGTTCCTTGGTTCCCCAAAGATTTTGCGCAACAGGTCCTTTGCATATCCCGTGGACACCGTGACGGACACGAGGGAAAGCTGCGGCACGCCTCCTCGCAGCAGAAAGGGTTTAGGGTTTACCCTGAGGGTCCTAACACTTTAGGGAACCTCAAAATGTATGATTTCTGAGACCCCAAAGAGACCCAAGGGCTCTTCTTGGGAGATTCCGGACCCTCCTAAGGAGATACCCGGACCCTTAGGGTAGGAGTCCGTAAAAGCCGCTATAAATCTCTCGGGCCCCAGCACCAAAATTGTGGGTTACGTTCAGGTAACTGGAGCCCTAAAAAATCACCCTAAACCCTAAACCCCAAAGCCATAGAACAAATTGTGTTTTTTTCGGGTCTCGAGCCGAGGGAGAGTTGATTTCCTAGCTTGTCCTTATGAAATTAAATTATGCCTGGGGTTCCCTATAGTTCGGGGTAGCGAGTTTAGTGTTTAGGGCTTGGGGTTTGGGGTTGAGGGTATTCTGCCGGGATTCTCCAAAGGGCCCTTCAATAGACTACCGACGTCTTAACAAGCTTGTTTTGACATTCCTGTCGCCGCTCTGTCGTCTTCTGTTCGAAGTATGAATATGGCGCCTATCTTGCGTCCAAACCCCACCCTAAGGGCCCGACGTTTTATTGGCAACCTCTGAAAGGTGGGGTTCTTGAGGGTACAAAGAGAGAATCCAGGACTCCCTGCCTCCTACAGTAGAAGCTAGAAAGTTGGAATATCATTATCGTAACCCCTTTAAGGTGAATTATAGGGGATCCTACCATTAATCCATATTCCAACTTTCTGGAGTTCCCTTTAAAGCGATACCTGGGCTAGCCCAGGCTCCCTTCATCCCTTCATGGAGCGTTCAAGGTAATTTGAAACGCTGCGCGTCGTCCGCCTCGGCCCGGCTGTACGCGCATGCGGCGAGCCCCAACACATAAAGATGCTACATTGCAGTCCCGTGTCGTCGAAAACTCCAGAAAGCTCGCACCTGTCAGCGAGCGGAGGAGGGGCGGGGAGGGGGGGGGAAGAGCAGAAACGAAGAAAATTGGGTGGGACCTACAGAAGACCAAAATCCACTGGAGAAGGCGAAAATTCACCGCCGGACCTTGGGGCTCATCGACACGTTTCCATTTTTTAGGGGGGGTGGGGGGGGGGGGGGGGCCCCCTTTTTTTGGGGGTGGGGTCACTGGGGAGGGGGGGAATAGAGGAATCCGAATAGGAACCTCTGACCGCTTCGGCCGGGGCCGAGGCGAATTTTGAAGCACGGGTATCTACAGTCTGAACTAGGGGTTCTTTGGGGCGTCTAGGTAAACCCTAAACCTACGCACTGATTCACCGTGATGTAAAACCGTTCGTAGAAGGAGCCCACTGCCCACAGCCCAGAGACTCCAATATCCCTGATTTAAGGAATATACCTCAAATCATGTTTGGGATCCTACTATTATTTAAGGAATATTCCGTAGTTAAGGGATATTGGAGTCCCCGGCAGCGCCCTTCTAAAACCTGATACACCCATCCGTCGATCCAACAAGATAACTTTGCATTTTGCAAAGCTGGATTCTCTAGGCCCCACATGGAAACCACTTGTACCCTGCGAAGTCGTTAACCGAGCCCGAAATACTAACCCCAAACTGTAAATCCGCGACCCTACTTCTAAAATTTTCCTGGATCCTACTTCTAATACCCTGAATAGGGGTCGATATATCCCTTTAAGGAGCCCTTGAAAAGGAGCCCTTAGCCCGATGACCTAAACGCTTGAGGCTTGAAGATATCGAAGATCTCGCGCAGCTGATTGGATCCCTGTTCACCCAGCTCGGTTGGGGGTTTCGGTGTTCAGGGCTTTTTGGAGTGTATCATGGCTTTAGCTGAAGCGCCAAAGCCTACGAAAATATTAGGCTGTGACCACTTGGTTATAGGGTCCAACCTCTAGGGCAGTGAGTTTTTGGGTGCTTAGGAGGCTGGGAATGGGGAGGTTGAGAGCTTAGAGCGCTTATCTGCGCTCCCAGCTACCCTCGCCTCGACTGTGTTGGACACGCGTGCTTTTGCGGCGGGACGACGGGTGTAGATGATAAGATTTAATCTAAAACAGGTATCGATCTGGGATAGCTGGCAATTTCTTGTGTTGCTTCATGCCCCTAAGTATAGATAGTTTTTGTGACTGTTGAAATCCACACCTAATTAAGGTTTCGGGGTTTGGGGTGTGCGGGTTTGTGGTGAGCTCCATGTTTACCAAGAGTGCCCAGGGGGGGATTTTGTGCTCCAAACCCCTAAACCCTGAGCCCTAAAAGCCTAAACCCTCAAAACCTACAGCCTAAACCCTGAACCCGGTAACCCTGAAAGCCTGAACCCTCAAAACCTGCACCCTAAACCCTGATCCACTAAACCTACATGGGAGTTTCCGAGGGTACTTTATTTTGGGGTCCTTATAATAAGGATCCTACTACTTAGGTACTACATTAGGGTCCCCTCTGTTCGGAAACTCCCTTATCTGGGTTAGTGCTTCTAGTTCTCGCTGCCTGAGGCTTCGTACATATAAGTAGAATCAGGAGTCAAAGGTATGACGACCCCAACTATAGTGTAGTTCTGTCTTTGATCCCAAAGCCTAAGTTCTAAACCTTCACCCCATCATCATAACGGTATGTATTAAGTTTCATCATCTCTTGATAAACAAGCTCTAAACCCGACACCCGTAAACCCTAAACCACTCAAAACTTTAAGTAGGTTAAGGGGACCAGGTGTTTCGATCTTGGGGCTGCTAACAGCTGGATCGCAGGCAGAAGGTTTAGGGATGTTAAGGGTTTAGGTTAGTCTTTAGCTGTGGCTAGGTCTGCCAGTAGTGCACGTTTGTCCTTTTTTACTTCAGTTTCTCCTTATGAAAATCGGACAGTAGGAAAAAGCCACCCTGTACCCGATGATGAATCAAGGGGGCCACTGGGGAAGCTAGGTGGGCTGTTGGGATTGGGCTGTTGTAAAATAGCATGCTGCTATATCAGGGCCCTCAGAGCAGTCGGTGAGGATGTTCGGGTTTATGTTCAGAGTTTTGAAGTGTCAAGGTTCCAATTCTCTCCCCATCTAATGAAAGCACTTACCAGACTCATACCAATCCTTGAATACTCCTTTCACAATCGTGTCAGTAAGCTTTCTGCCAACCCTTTACAACACCCTATAACCCCCCTTGTGAGGGCTTGTCAGCAAAACGCAACAAAGTCCGCAACCCTCCCCCAATTCCCTACACCCCTACATGCCCTAAACCCCAGGGTGCCTTATCATGGTTGCTAGATGTACTTCCTTGAGAAGGTAGGTCTGCGTGGCACAGGCGAATTCTTATGAATATCTAAATGGGCGGTTGTCAAAACTATGGTCCACTTTTGGGTCTTGATTCTTATACGGCACCTAATATTTAGGGTACCCAGAAAGGGGCCATAATTTTGACAACTACCCAAATACTGAGCCAGGATGGATCCGAGTTCGCTGACTCCTTCATCACAGCCGCCGGAGGCACCCTTGGAAGCACGCAAACTGCTTGCCTTGATGGCTTGACCAGGGAAACACCCTAAGGGTCCTAACAAATGGGGGAACCTCAAAATTGAGGGTTTCTGAGACCCCAAAGAGACCCAAGGACTCTCCCTAGGACATTCCGGACCCTCCTAATGAGATACCTGCACCCTCAAAACAGGTTATTTATAGGTCTTGGTTGATTCTCCCTTGTTCGGAAACGTGCACAGGCAGCAAGGATCAAGAGGTCTGCAGGTTTTCAGATTCAGGGTATCCTGGAATGTATTTTGGCCTAAGGTCTTAGCCTTAGTCTTGCCTGTGACCCCAAATCCTGCAAAGTTGTAGGTAGAGCCTTGGAACGGTAGGTTTAGAGATCTCCGGCCGGCCTTGAAACGAATCCCCGTGAGGGCTTTAGGGGTTCTTCGTGGCAGGAAGCCGTCCCTGTATCCCCCCGATCCTACAGCATGGTAGGTTTTGATCCCTTCATTACACCATATATTTGCATAACCTCCAGACCTTGCAAAATCCTGCAATTAAGGAATAGACCCTAAATCATGTCGGGGATTCTACTACAGTTTAGGGTATATACCTTAATTAACGGATTTTGGAAGGTCGGGGCCCATAAAACAGTAGGTTCATGGTGGCAGGAAAGGATTTGGCTCATCACACTGACGGACATGTCCAAAGATGGCTGGGTTCCGCTGGAGGCGGGCCCACAACAGGACGTCGTTTGGGGTGCAACTTCGAGGTTTATAGGGTTTAGAGTTGGGTGTGGGGTTGTTACGTGTTTTGGTTTTGGAGTTTATTGGCTGAGGATGTAGCTCTAGCTTTGCAGTTAAGCCAAGAGCTTGGGCCAAAGCATGCGGGTCTTTACCCTATATACAAACGGCAGGCATTGGGGATTCTCCCTTACATGGTGCCAGGCATTCCTCTACTTGCCGGAAGTGAACGATTTCTTCGAAAGCAGAGGCAGAGCGAGTTTAGGGTTGAATATTGGCAGGCTTTCGTCATCTTTTTGCAAGGAGGGTCAGGATCGTATTAGTTGAACAGTTGGGCCTGGTACTTAGCCCAGAGAAGCTAGGATGCCCAGTACTACCCTTATTCCCCTTTTGTAGTCCTGAGTTCCTTATAAAGTTACCCAATACCAAACAGGGAGCCCTTTTTATTCCTAGGTTACTGGGCATCCTAGGAAGGCATGTTAGAAACAGATACGATGAGATGCATGTCCTCGCCAGTAGGGCTTGCTGGAGCCTAGCTCTCCTAGGCTTCATATGGGAGTTTCCGAAAATAGGGGACCTTAATATAGCACCCCAAATAGTTGGTTTTCAGGACCCCCCCCCCCCCCAATTTTCGGAAGCTCCCATAGTTAAACAATTGCGCCCAAGAGCCTCGGCTGTAGGCTTCTTAAACCTTAACCCGAAACCCCAGGTTTTATGTTCAGTAGCTGAGTGGATAATTGCACCTTACACTTGTTGGGAGAGTATTTATTACCCACTATAAAACTGAAAGTGTACACTTTTAGGGGCTTATGAACTCAGCAACTAAGTGTCAACCTATCAATCCGAAGCCCCAAACCCCATGTCTTGCTGAGCACAGGCATCGTCGGCCAGAGCTGCTTCGCCTGCCTCGTCGCTGCCGCAAAAGAGCAGCAAGTTATGTGTTTGGGTTTTGGGTGTAGGGTTTAGAGTTTAGGGCTTGGGGTGTATAGTGCGTAGGGTTTGGGGTTTAGGGTAGCTAGCCTTTTGTCTGTTGGGGTTTATATCATCCTACGGGGTGAATTGTTACTACTTTAGACCGTAAACCCAGAGCTGTAAGCCCTAAGCCCGAAACCCAAAACTTCGAAGCCTAAACAAAACGAGCTAGTGCTGAATTTATTGCCAGGGGATTTAGCTTGAAATTGGTGGTCTATTTGGGTTTAGGGTGTAGGGCTGACTTCACTTTCGAGTGCGTTTCGGGTGGAGTTGTCATTTCTTAAGCCGGCCTCTGACGCCGCAGCACAGGGCATTCGAAATCCAAGGCACTGACAACCCCTGAAATCTCTGCACCTCGAGGATGCAACTTCCGTGCTTTCGGTTTTCATGCCCCTCTCCACTCCGAGACCAATGAAAACGATGAACCCTAAACACCACATACAAACCCCTGAAACCCAAACCCCGCAAATTTCGTAAGCCCTCATGAACAAGACGAAATTCTCAAAATTCCTCGTACAAATCCTGGTTACCGAAAGCTTTTGGTGCTTGGAGTATGCGGGCAAAGGAGATCCCCCCAACGACCCGCATTAAAACATACAGAGGTTGGGACAGGGTTCAGGGTTTAGGGTTTGGGTTTAGGGGTTTAGGGTTCAGGGTTAAGGGTTTAGGGTTTGTCATATCGGACTGTAATCCCTTCGCGGTGTTGGTTTCAGGGTGTTCTGCATGAAAGCCGCCCAGGTTCGATGTTTGGGTTTGGAGTTTGTATGGGGTGGTCGAGGTTGCAGTGTCTGGCATAGGTCTTTCGAACTTTTGATTGATGGGTGCGGGCAGGTGGGTAGTTCTCTGAAGTAGGTCCCTTTTGGGTCCCGAAATGGTACGGCACCCTTTTAACAAGGACCCCAAAAGGGACCCCTATTTCGAAAAATACCCAGCTACGTCGGGGTTTGCAGTGCAATTTCGTCAAGTCGACGGCCGCTGAATTCTGCCCTATGGTTTGGGGTTTAGGGTCTCCCTGGAAGTGTCGCTGCATGAACCCGGAAACCCAAACTACGCGACGAGGCATGCAGATCAAGTCGTCTACGTCTTGACATGCATTGCGACGAACCTCGCGCTACCTGTCTCCAACAGAGTGTGGTACTGAAGCCGACAATTGCTGAAACACTTGCAGACTGTAAACCCACAAACCACAAACACGCAAGCTTGGATTCTATGCCCCCAATCCCTGCACTGCGCCTACCCTAAACCCGCACCCTAACTCTAAGGCACGGGTTGTTGGCCTTCAAAAACCTTTTCCGAATCCCTCAATTTCTTGAGTTTCAACTGCCGAGCTACTACAGAAGCCTAAATAACTTACCTATAGTATTTCTAGGGATCCTTATTGTAAATATGCTGTAAGGGAGCTCAAAACCCTAGTCTAATTACTGAGGCCCCTACATTAAGAGTTCCGGCTAGTTGAGGCCAGAGATCCGGCAGGCCTCAGGAGCTGAAGAATTTACTGGAGAGGATCGGCAGCCTAACCCCTAAACCTCAAACCCTAAGCACTAAATCTTAAACCCTTAGGTAAGGAGGGACATAGGTTCCCACGTTTCTGAGGCTTTGAGCGTCCAGGAATTAAATTATAAGGACTTCGTTGCAGCAAGATTCATGGCTTATCCTCTAATTGGAGCGCTTATCAGGTTGAATGTCAGTTCATAAGAATGCCATACAGAGATCTGAACAAACAGCAATGGCGTGTCCCTTTTATGCCCGACATTCATAGTATAATGTGCCTCCAGCGATTTCTGCGTGACCTGCTACTGCAGGAGGGTTTGGAACCCTACCTGGAGGGTCTTGGCATGGGATCTACTAACTAAGGATGTACGTTCCTTAATTACGACTATAAGTAAGCATAGGTATAGTTAGTCCGGGTTTAGGATTAAGTTAAGGGTTTGAAGGTTTATACGGTTAGACTAGTATAAATATGTCTGTGTGTATACACACGAGGTCTGTCACATACTTGTAGTATGGCCCCAAAGTAGCAATATAGGAATCGCTATGCCATATTTAGACGCTTGTTTGACCCTTACTGTAATTCTTGGGTTTAGGGTTTAGGGTGCTATACAGAGACAGTAGGTTGACCCTTAGTTCGTCACCAGGTGCGCCTGGATGGGAAGCGCAAAGAACCGTCCCAGGCCCAGGCGGGGAAGATGTTTGAACGTCCGAAACCTGAAAGGGGTAGGATGAAGGTAGGTGGTTTAGGGTTTAGGGGTTTAGGGTTTAGGGTTTAGGGTTTAGGGGTTTAGGGTAGGTTTAGGGGTTTAGGGCTTAGGGCCAAAATGAGAATCTTTGTATAAGGGTCCTTCTTCCGACCTATCTTCATCCCACCTTTTGAGGCTTGCAAAAACCTGCAGGCCGCAAGCCTTGGCGAAGCATAAACCGTACCTGTAGGGCAAACCCTAAACCCTAATCCCTGAACCCTATTAGCCCCCACCTGTAGCCAAAAATGCTTCGCCTTCTACAGAAAGAAAGAATCCCGATGCGTCCAGGGACCTTATTGTTGGGTCCGTAAGGGGTCTAGGGCCCTATCTATAAGGTCCCTGGAAGCATAGGGAATGATAAAGAGAAGAAGTCAGAATAAGCAACCTTTAAGATGGGTTTAGGGTCGTTTTGGGGCGAAAGGTAGCTCCAGAACCCAACCAGGAAACCGCCAAGTACCCTCAGCTGCTGGTGACTTACTCTATACGATCCTCACAGCAACACCAGAGATCCTAAGCCCTAAACCCTAGCGCTTTTGGGTGGGAGCTTTTCTAGAGCATTTCCAGGGCTTGGGGTTTGGAGGATAGGGGTTAAAAGGGTTCAGGGCTTAGGACTGGCAGAACAGACGAGGAAGTGTAGTCGCTTGAGAGAGGTACCGGCGTTAGGCTTTTCAGAGCTGAGGGAAGGCAAGAGGGTTTTCGAGGGTGTACTGTATCTTAGGGGTTTAGGGTTCAGGGTTTGCCCACCCTGAACCTAAGCCCACTGAAATCTGAAAGCACCCAACCCTACAAACCCTGAAGCCCCGAATAAACCCTGAGACCCTTAATGTAAGGGTTTGAAGTGGTCTAAAGACTTGTAGTAACAGTATCCTAGTATAGCCCCCGTTTAAGTGAAAAATAGTATAAATCCTAAACCCTGAACCCTAAACCGCTGGTATAACATGCACCCAAACAATATGAAGGCTCCTACCTTACGAACATTCGAGCCTCAGGTGGAACGCCGCGAGCTCAACTCCTTCGAGCCATATCAGCTCGTGGGCGGTCGAGCCTCCTGCTTAGAGTTTAGCTTAAGCTTAAACTCTAAACTTGATTAAGAAACCCTGGCTCTAGAGCACTAATGTATTAAGACATCCTATAAAGAGCCCTAATAAAGACTCAGGGTTTCTTAATCAGGTTCCTACAATAGGGTTCAGGGTTGGCGTTTCAAGGGCTTGGGTGTAAAAGTCATGATGACTTGGAGTTTGGGAAGCTTGCGATGCCGCATCAGGGGATTGGAGCAGTTTTGTGGTTTAGGGTTCTAAGGGTTGGAATCCGTTGGAACAAGCTTGGTATATCAAGGGTGTAGAGAACCAGGGGCAAAGCAATACGCCATGAATCGTGATTCTACTACACGGGCCCCGGGCAAAACCACTCGACCCGAAAACCCATCGAAGTTTTTTTGGTGCAAGGGCAGTTTTGGTGTGTATATATATATATATATATATGTGCCCCAAAACCCTAATTACTCAATTACTAAGGCCCCTACCTTAATCCTTTGGACTGTGGTCCGTTCTGGAATCGGCTGGCCTCGACAAGGTCCTTGCTGTGGCTTCGACGGGAAAGAGCCAGGCGCCACACCGGTTTGGGTTTAGGGTTTGGGGTTAAGGGTTTAGGGTTTCCTACTAATACGCATAACTCTACAGTAGAAGCCAGAAAGCTGGAACATCATTTTCCCCATGCCAAAAAAAGTAAAGGATAAGGGATCCCAGCACTAATCCTCCTAAATCCATGTTCCAACTTTCTGGCGACCACTATAAGCCCTAACACCCTGAACCCTAAACTTTAACTCGCGTGTTTTGGACTTTCGGTCCCGAGGAGCCGTTTTAGGTAGTTTGGGGTTTGGGGCATGTTCAGTATAGGGCTCTTAGAGAGTTTCTTCAGCGGTTGTTGACTGTCTTTTTGCGGTCTCCCCTTGTTTTTCGAAAGGTGTCCATAAGGGCTCGTTCTGGAGTTGGTCTTTGGTCCCTCCATGTTAGGGCCGGGCTGGAATGTCCATAGGGACGACTTTTGGCGCTCATTGCGGACTCAGCAGCCCTCCCTTAAGGCTGCATGTTTGAGGCAGCTACTTGCGTCATAGCACAACTGCGGCAGACCGTGCAGGGTGATTCGGCTGAAGCGCTGCGCAAGCTTCCTCTTGCCGGGCAGGCTGCGAGGGCTGAGGACCAGCGTCGGAGGCTTGCACTGCAGGAGTGCACGTGGAACGTGATTTGGTGCCGTCCCACGCTCTCGTTGACCTTTGTTGTCACATGCATGACGTGGGCGTCACCTGTATCTCGCCTGGAAAATGCACCAGCCGAGAGTCTGAAATACAGTTGTCTACCAAGGACCAGAACAACATCTTCCGACTTGAAGACACCTCCCTCAAGGTGGGCTGCGAACAGTCCAAGGACACCGCATCGTTTGATTCGCCAATCAAGTTGCGATGGTGCCTACAGCGCCGGGGGCTGGCTTTGGACCAGGCCAAAGTGCTAACATGGGCTCAGCACGAACGTTGGGTCCACTGTTCGCTTCATGCCCTCACCAAGGAATGCCCGCCCGGCTTTCATAAACCCGACGTGAATCGCATCATTCAGGTTGACCGTGAAGCCTGGTTGATCCTGACATCCGAGCCAAAATACGTATTCCATGGCCATCTTAAGGCTTCAGCAGAAAACCTGTGAAGGTACATAGAGCCTGAGGTTTAGTCTCGCGGGTCCCACAAGTTTGGAAACCTTGGTGCTTAGACTTTCGGAATTCCGGACCTCCTAGCTTTACGGCTTTACAGGCGCAGTGGTGCAGAGTTGTTGGCGTTTCGGGATCGCGGGTTTCTTGCAGTGGCTTTCGATCAAGTTTTCATTGCTTGATCCGGAAGAGTTTGAACTTCTCCAGGACAGACCCTAAGCCCTCTCAGCCCCAAACCCTACACCCTAAACCCTTTAGCCCCTAAACCCTGAACCCCTAAACCCCCCCTCAACCCTAAACCCCTAAACCCCCAAACCCCTAAGCCCCTAACCCCTAAGCCCCTAAACCCCTCCTCAACCCTACAGCCCTAACCCCAAGGTCCCAAACCTCCCGGCCCCCGACGCAGCCTTGCGGTTGCAAGTTGACCCAACCTCCCAGGCGGTAAATCGTAAAACTTCCGCTCCCGCAAAATGCCCTAAGGTCGTAGGGCTCCAAATACCCAGGTGTTACAGACTTTGGCCGCAAAGTACCTTTTGAGGGCAATGGTATAAAATGTTTGGGCACATGTGCCACCCTTAGGCTTGGAGACCTTAAACGGACACCAAGAATTTACCAGATTCCCCTCCACCCTTAAACCCTAACCCGTAACAAAACCCTAAACCCTAAATAAACCCTCAACGAGCTGAATCTTAAACTCCGAACCTTGTCGCCTTGTGTAGAACTTTCGGGGTTTCCTTTACAGGGGCGTGGTGTGAATAGTGTCCACGTGGGGAGTTAACATTAAACTCGCAGAGGGTCCAAGTGCTGTACACACATAGTAGAGACTGAGGTCCCAAGCACTATGGCAATTTACGGCTTAGGGTTTCGAGCAACAAAGCACAGACAGATCCATATAATCAGTCAGGGTTTAGAGGTTGATGGTTAGGGTTTTCGGGTTTAGGGTATCTTCATGTATCTTCCTAAGAGATACACGTTACATGACTAAGGTGTCAGGTCCTTCTGATTTTCTCATAGGGATCCTTAGGGGTGTAGGGGGGAGGGGTGTAGGGGACCATATTTCCTTGAATAGGCCTTATTAGTCCTTATTATGGGCCTTAAGGCCCCCTACCCCCCCCTCCCCCTACACCCCTGAGGATCCCTATGATTTTCCAGTCGTTATTCCGCCTGACAGCTCGGTTCAGGATTGTCTACTGGTGGACATCGGCGCATCCATCCCTTGTTCCATCCATGGCTGCTTCGCTGCAGGGATCTTTGACAAACGGTTTAGAGCTGAACCAGTTTTTGAGCTGACGTAAAGCAACGCCGGAGTAAGAAGTGCTATCTAGCAGTAGTGCTCCCTCCATACAGTATACGCGGATGTATCCAGGCGTCTACACTAACCAGCCCCTGATTCAACCCTAAGCCCTAAACCCCTAGACCCTAAGCCTGGTATTCTTGAATCCTTATTTCTAGGGCAAACAGGCGTAGGCACCACTCTGGGGGGGCAGCCCAAATCCCTTCGACCCCCCTTCGCCGAACCCCCGCCCCCTTCGTCGAACTTCGCCCTCGGCTGTGGCTAATATTAGTATTAATATATTTAGTATTAATATAATATAATAATTAGTAGTGGTACTCTTATATAATTAGTATTAAGATATACTATAACTAATTACAAGTATTATTATATTAAATATGCGAGGATTAGTATTGTTGTTATATTAGTTTTAGATAATAGAGTCTGAGTAGTTGCTTATATGTAATACTTCCGGTGTAGTAATTGTGAGCCACAAAGAAAGAACACAATTTAACAAACACAGCCCATCACAAGAACTCTAATAACTGTTTGAGAAGCAATAGGTTAAATATTTGGACAACTACAAAGACAATGTACAACTTATTACTTATGATAATGAATAAGAGCTACGGAATAATAATAACCAATTGTTTGCTACCCAATAAATTCTTGTAGTAAATATGATAAGAACAGTTAAATAACTAATGCCATACCCCCGAGTGTAGCAGCAACAAGAACCGCCCGAGTCTCACCTACTTAAGTACATCTAACCTTAGTTTAATATTATGTGGCAATTGAAATTGTACTGGTCGCCCGAGTGTATCAAATAACCATTCCAACGACAACTGCCCGAGCCTCACCTACACAATCATCTGCACATAATATTTTTATCTCAACATGATTATAACACATATGCATTAGCTTCCCCATAACTTTAAATCCCCCTGTAACTTCCCCTTAACCTTAAACCCCAGCCCGCCCCTTCACCTCCGGCGGGCACCGGCGACACTACGCCGGCGCCCCACTTTCAGGTCCAGGGTTGTAGCTTGGTTCTTTGGGTTTCGGGTTTAGTGTCCAGGGTGTGGGGGTTTGGGGTTAGGGTTTGGGGGTCAAGGGGTTTGGGAGTTTGGGGGGCCCAGGTTGTTGAGGGGTTCAGCTTGGGGCCTTGGCGTGTTGGTGGGGTTTCGGGTTTGGTGTTGAGGGTTTGGAGCTCAGGGGTCGAGGTTCTAGGGATTGGTGGTTCGGGGGGTCCGGGTTTTCAGGGTGTTCAGATTGGAGCTTTGCGGGTTTGTCGGGTGGAGCATGATCTTGTGTTGATTGGGGTTTGGGGTCGGGTTGGGGCTTGACTCAGGCTGGGGTTTCGGGTTGAGGCTTAGTTGAATTGATGGGTTGTTACTGTTACTGTTAGTGTTGTTCTTTGTTCAGTTTTAATTTAATTTAATTCTAGTAACTGCCGGGGGCCCTGGACTTCGTGACGAGGCGCGTTTAGGATTAGTGGTTATTAGAGGTTTGGGTTTGAAGAGGTGGACTGGTGCATTGCACCAGGCCCCTCAACAGCATCCAAGATGCCAGGTGGCCGCGGCGGCCTGACCACCGGTCAGGCTCCCGGCTCAATAGGCCTGGGCGGCCGTGGCGGCCTGACTTCGGTCAGGCTCCCGGCTCCCGGTCTTCTGGAAGCAGCCTTGTCTGGGCGGCCGCGGCAGCCTGACCACCGGTCAGGCTCCCGGCTTCCGGCATGGCCTGGACGGCCGTGGCAGCCTGACCACTCATCAGACTCCCGGCTTCCGGCATGGCCTGGACGGCCGTGGCAGCCTGACCACCGGTCAGGCTCCCGGCTTCCGGCATGCGGCTTTCAGTTCACCCTGGCATCTTCGGATACTGGTCTGGGTGGCCGCGGCTCCCGACCAGATCATTCCAACCTCGCCCGAGCCCCCAAATAGCAGTAGTCTGAAACCCTACTAATAAATCAAGACTATACTTAAATTATACCCTAAACCATAATAATATTAATAATACACATTCCCCTCCCCGCCCGGCCCTGGTCCGAGCCTCAGTTACGGAGTCAGTTGGGGTTGATTGATTCATTCCCCCTAATTATACCCTCAATTTCAACTAGTAAGCCCTAAATAAATAAAGGAGGTGTCAACCCGAACCCCACCTGAAGGCTTCAATTGACTTGTCCGAGTTCTGAGAATAGCAATGCTTATAATTCTAATAAGTAATAATTATACTAATAGTGATCATTCCGTATTCCAGGTTGAAACTGCCCGAGCTTCCCAAAGCATCGTTCATGGAACTTCATTCTTCAAGAGAGCCATGACAATCATAATAATACTCATTCTTTGATCGTCATAGACATTCGTTAGTTAAGAAACTAAACAGCGTCCCATGGATCATCACCCCACCAAGCCATCCTTGCAACTGCCCGAGCGACCCATACCTCCTGCCCGAGCCCAGAGCAAAGAAGACTACTAGTGCTACTAGGATCCAACTCAATATAATTATTATGATTATAAGACCCCGACTACAGACATCAAAAGCATGCTCTAGCAGCCACAGCATTCCCACAATCGATTTTGCATTATAATATACAATATTGTTCCAGCCAATTAAGAGCCCTGTGTTTGCGAAGTTGGGAGTGTTTGGATTTGGGACTGCGTGAACATCCAGTCCCCAGCCCCACACCTCAGTACTTAGATTCGTAAATAAACCACAACGACAACCCCAAACTCTAGACTTCGGAGCCTTCAACCCAAGGAGCTTGCTCACCCGCAATCGCAATACCTGCCGCTCAGGTCTGCCACCCGCTGCGATTCGCCGTTGGCTGACCACGATTGTCCGAGGACCGGTCCATTGACGGGGTGTCGAGGGCTGTGGCAGCATCAATAAACAAATAAGACTAAACATTTCTGGGTCGAAGGGGCTTGAAACCTTGCTAAAAATATTAAACGTGGGCCACATTGGAGTTTGCAGAGGTACGTCCGAGATCCAGGCCACACGTCAAAGGGTGTTTAATATTACTATTGACTATGTGTCCAGTCCCGCATTTGGCAAAATTCATGAGACTTTTAATAAACTTCAGTGGCTGTGACCGACACCGCCGCCATCATCCTCGAGTAATTCGTGAAGCACTTGATTGAGCGGCTGGGGTTTTAGCACCCACTTTGCCTCCAGACGATAGCAAGCCCGTGCAGCAGGGCCACCAGTAGTAGAAGTAGTGGAAGAAGTAGTGGTAGTAGCAGCAGCAGCAGTGTGGTAGTGCTAGTGGTAGCAAGGCTCATAATAATTCTCTAACGAACGAGAGCCCTCGTCTCAATCCCATACATGTACCTATTATTTTACACGTAGTCAGTGGCTAGAATTTGAAGTATTGAGTACCTTGTCAATTGTAAACATTAATCATTTAGATCGAAGTTCTGTGCCAGCCATGGCAAGCGCCGCCGGTGGAGGTGGCCGAAAGAACGAGGAGCCGCCCGAGAAACCGCCGGGCGGAGACGAAGATGCGGAAGAGGAGGAGGATGAGGATGTGCCCGAGGACGGTGTTTGGAAAAGTAAGCTCTAACTAAATAATAAATAATTAAGCCTTCCCTTGAATTGAGCCAAAGATAACTTGGGTTAATTAATTTTACGGTGTTGAGATGATTGAATAGAAAGCCCCTGCAGGAAAAGCGGCGTCCAGGCTCCAAGCCCAATAAGAAGCTGCGGCAAAAGCGTCGCTTGCTCCGGGAGGCGGCGGAGCAAGCTGGCCAGCCGCCCGAGAAACGGCATCCTCACAGGTACAGGCCTCCGTCGTCCGAGCCGGCTAGCAGCAGTGGTGGTGGGCGGCCGAGTTCTCGTGCTGCGTCCGAGCCGTCAAGCAGCAGCCGGCCGGCCGGGCGGCCGTCTCCGCAACTCGGTTTGAAGATTCAGCCCCGTGTTGCCTTTATTAATACTTTTAAATCAATAAATAGACTATAATTAATAATAATAATTATAAGTAATAATATTATTTTAATAATAATAAATAATTATAAGTAATATAACAACTATATTTAATTATTATTTATAGCTAGTATTAATAGTGAATAGTGGCTGTAGGAAGAGGTGGGTTTGGACCTGGTGTGGTTCATGCGTGCCCCGAGTTAAGCTCCAATCAAGGTATCCACAGGTGAACGAGTTTATGGAGAACATGGACAACCTCCCGTCCGATCCTACGGCGGCATACAACATCCTGTTTCGCCAGTGGTGCTGCATGAATGCCCGTTTGGTGTACATGCATGCCTGCAGGAAGGCTGTGGCTCGGCGTGCTAAGCAACTTTTTTCGGATCCTTGAGTCATTGAGGGGTTGATTGGTTGTCTTTCAGGGGTTGGAATTTAAATGTTCTAACAAATATATTTTCGTGTGCAACATCCCCAATTCCAGATCGCCGATGCCCACGGGATGCTGCCACTGCAGCCCATCAATAAGCCCGTGACGATGGCGGACTTCACCCGAGCTGTTCAGGAACCTCAGCTTCATGTTCTTGCTACTGCCTAGTCGTATTGTGATGTATCCTTCTAGTTAAGTTCCAGGCCGACTGGAATCTCTATTATTTGCTAATCATAATAATTATTAATGCACAGAAAGCATCCGAGGAGCTGAGGGACCTCCTGCAGTTGGCCCGGGCCCAGTTGGCAATTTTCGCATTGCATGCGCCCGAGACTTGGAAGAGCAGTAATACAGGCTTTGCAGGGCTTAACGTGGACATCCGATACTCAGTTCAAGTCAGTCCAGGAGTAAGTCTTAATTATTTTGTAGTAAATTAATCCAAAAGACTTAATTATATCATTATTAATTTAATTTAATTCGCTAGTATATAATAATGCTTAGTATATAGTAACTTAGTAACTAGTTAATTGATTAATTTTTGTTATTTGTGTTAGCTAGCTAGCTTCGCTGCACCCTGGCCAAGGAGGAGTACAACTACTGTATCACCGT